AATTTTATTTATTCTTTCAAAAACCAACTCTTCAATTCATAGATTTTTTTTGTATTGTTCTCTTAGTTTCCATTGAATTGATTTCTTCTCTGATCTTTGTAATTTCCTCCCTTTTACAACCTTTGGGTTTTTCTTGCTCTTCTCCTTCTAGGAGCCTAAGATTTATCATTAGGTGATTTATTTGAGCTCGCTCTGTTTTCCTAGTGTGGGCATTCACTGCTATGAATTTTCCATATAGAACTGCTTTCATTGTGTCCCATAGACTCCTGTATCGGCATTAGCATTTATTTGTAGAAACTAATTTCTTCTTTATTCCCGGGGACACACCCCGTCCCCACCCCCGAGAGCTGGCGGCCGGCTCGGGATGCCAGGCGGCCGGACGGGCGCTCTGCCAAATTCCGCGTTCCTCCCCGGGAGAAGGGGAATTGCGTCCCAGGCTCGGAAAAGCCCGTGGTTCGGGCTTTGGACTCGTTCGCAGCGCTCCCCCCAAGGCGCCAGGGACGCCCCTGCAGGTTGAATTCCTGCTCCGTATCACTTCAATTTTAATTAATCTTTTAAAACACCGCTGTCACGTCGCTCGCAGAAAATTAATCAAACTTGAATCCTTGTTGCATAGCAAGGATTTCGATCCGAGTCTTTTAAAAAGGACTTGACTTTGCGAAGTCACGTCTTTTATAGTTCCCTCATTCTCCTTTTAGCAAGGGAAATATTGCAAAAGTCAAGACATGTTTGTTTGCTTCCTCCTCTCTTCAAAATGAAACTTTGCTTATTTCTGATCTTTATTTTCCTGTCTTTGAACCCCAAAAATGAGATAAATTGCCACCCCTGTTAATTCAAAATATAATTACTTTGAATGATCTTTGTTTAAGAGCCCAGATAAACTAAGATAATCTTAATTTTAATGTGACATGACCCCTATTTTTCCTTGTGAATGATGAGAATAAAGAAGTCATTAATTAATACCAAGATATCTCCACAGAAGATGGTATCTGGTCTTGCTGAGACGCTGAAGCATCAGTTGTATTAGTAATTGATACTATATAATTGAACATGAAGATAGTCTCGTATTTTTAACCTCAAAGCTCAGAGTTTAGTTGGTGATTACCGAGCTCCTAATAATTAATTTTAGTTCCTTCTTGCTGCAAAAATAATTCTTATGGCTCCCAGTTTCCATGCCACACAGACAGTCCTCATTAAAAACTATCCCTCAAAATGATTGGGAAGCTATGTTGTGCAGTAACTCTATTTCAATATTTATAGCAAATTTGCTCTTTTCCCATTTTCCTTGGCTGTAATTTACCTACTAAGAATGTGAGCTATGGCTCTTCTGGCTTCTACTAGCTTTGCCTTCCTGTGGTCTATCGGCTCAATTTAATGCAAGATAGTTTAGGCTCCCCACCCCCATCCCCAAGTTTCTAACATTTGAAGGTGAGTCCATTGAAGAATCAGGATGTTTTGTGCAGTGAAGCTGCCGTAGATTAAACTCCCACCTAACACACGGCCTGGGTTACCTCACACTTTTTTGCTGTAAAACAAGACTGCTGAATACATTCCCCCTTTCCAGCGTGATTTAAGACCAACTCCCACCATTTGCTGGGATAAATTGAATGTTAGCACAACTTCTGACATTTAAAAAAATTCCTTGCCCAATGAATAGGGAAGTCTTCCAAACAATAATAGAAATTTAGACTTGCTTCAAAGTAACCGATGATTTCTTAGCATCAGTTTGCTGATGATCCTCGCTTTTTTTTTTTTTTTTTTTTTTTTTTCGTGTGGGGGGGGTTTGTGTTGTTGCTTTTTTTTTTTTTTTTTTTTTTTTTTTGGCCAGTGGAGAGGAGTTGTGATATTTTTCTCACCCATATAAGAAAAAAAATAAAATAAACACCTCCCTACATGTTTCTCCAGTCAGGTGTCACCCCAAATAAATTTCACCTGTTTTATGCCACATCAGTATTCTCAGTACCTACCCTACTTGTGTTTTACTTAACTGTCATTGCTATTCCTAAAGTGTTCAAAAGTATCTCATTGCCCCCCCACTTCCCCTTCCTACAATTAAAACTTTAGGGCAATATATGATGGAGTGATGCCTCTCTCTTGGATTTTACATTTTCCCACTATAATTTAGGCTGCAATGGGATTAAAACAGGATCTAGAGTTCTAATCTTGGTCGATGTTTTGGGTGTAGTCACTGTAATGAGTCCTATTCCCCGGGGTCATGAAACTCCCAATTGTCAGTCAGGCAAAGAGATTCAGAAATGCCATTGTTTGGCTCCCACGTCCCTCGCCTTCCCCTCATTTTATTTAACATTACCGGAGTTCTCTGATCAGTCATTCGGAATATGAGGCATTATCTGTGGAAAATTCAGTGTCTTGAGCTTTCTTTGGGAGATACTGTCAAGGGGCTTCCTCAAAGCAGAAAGAGCATGTTTATATTTCTGTCTTTGGACCGCAGGATGGGTGGAAAGAACCCATGAATATCTCCTGAGAGAAAATCATACCATAAATCCGTCAAAAATGAATTCTTCCAGTTGAATGTTATATTTCTATTTTGGTGGTAGAGGCGTCCTGATATGTCACCGGATAAGTCTCCCAAGGTCTGCGTCCAGTTGATATGGCCCGCCTCCTACCCACAACTCACTCACTTAATAATGTTCATGTGTTTAGTCTACACTAGTTAACCAAGCATTTATTGGGGGGGGGGGGGCCTTGGCTCCAGGAGCCTCTGCAACCCGTTTTTCCCAGTGGCCACCTGGGCCATTGACACCCCCGTCCCAGCTCCGGGACGGCTGTCCTAGGCGGAGGCGGCCAGCGTGCTGCTCGCTCCCAGCGGCCCAAATCAATAACCAACCCGCCCTGGTGCTCGGTTTCACAGTGGGGCCCGGCTGCTGCGAGGACTTCTTGGGAGAGAGGCAGGGGACGCGCTTCGTGGGAAAAGCTGTCTCCTGCCGGCGACTTTGGCCTGCAGGGCTGGGGGCAGGGCTCCCGCGTCCACTGGGAATCGCGCTACAGCGGTGACCTGGCAGCCGCTCGGGAGGGAGCCATGGGGCGCT